AGATAAAAAGGTCTGCGATAGAGGAAAGACAGTTAAATACTGAACTGAGCTTACAAGGAAAGTTCTTAAGTTGTTTTTCTTACAAGAGTTGAGTGTGGTCTTTATAAATATAATAGGTTTTCACTTCCGCAATGTTGTCCTGCAGTATAATACTCAGACATGATGGATTGACTGAGTGGTCCCTCAGAATCTCCTTGTATTGCATGCATCTGGAGTAAGACTATAGCCTAAGGCTAGGCAAAACAAATATTTTCCACAAAACATTCTGACTGAGAATAAACTGAGTCCATAGAGAGACAGTTAAGGGAGCAAAGGAGGCAGCCAGGTTCAGCCATTCATTTCAAAGGCAAGAGCCACAGTTTAAAATGTGTGATAAATCTCTATGTTCAGAAACATGTCAATTCAAACTACAACATAAACAGTGGAAGCTAAGTAAGGGTGAGAGATAATTCCTATGAAAATGATTGAAGAGGGTACAATTTATTGATCTTGGCTACCTATACCATGGTATCTGGGTGGGTTCTTGATTCATACTTCTTGTCATAGTATTTCATAAAGTGTGACATATGTGAGCCAGCCCACTGGTGGTGTATGTATTGGAGGAGGAAAGACCAGAATAAACCTCTGAGAGAAAAAGTTGCTTTATTTCAATCTCACTGAAAAATTTCAATCTCACTTAAAAATAATTTAAAATAATAAATTTTAAACTTAGCTACTGAAATTTATCACATTTAAGGCACAGCCAAGCTGCTTTAGTCCTTCTCTATGTTTATACAACTTAGCATATCCATTCGATCACTCCTAGATTATTCTTAGATCGCAAGCTTGTCAAAGCACTGCAAGATTAAAGTGATAGGGGCTTTAGGCTCCCATCCAGACGAAGCTGCGTTAGGAACACCTATCTTTTCCAAGAACCAGGAATTTGACAAAATGTAAACACATCATGACTTCATGGAAAACATTAGAAAGATGTCAGTAAAATTAAAGTGAACCAAACTACCCTTCTAATTTCTATGTTATATTTGACAGTTAAGTTGAACAATCTTAAAATATATGATTAATAGAAACACACATATATACACATATATTATTAAATGTATATATGAAAGACACCCAAGATTGTCAACTCTAGTGCAATCAATTGAATAATATATTTTGTTGACAGAATAATAGAAAGATCTAAGTAATATAAAATGATATATATTCTAAGAGGAACGACTATATTGGCAAAGAAGGGTTGGGTTTTCTTTTCTAAAGACACTTGAAGAAAAACTATAAATTTTATTTATTGAAATCACATTTATTAAGCATCTACTCTATTTCTCACATCGATGCAAGCTGAGAACAAAAACAATTCAAGGACCACATTCTTAAGTGGGAGAGAGAGAAAACACAACTACAAATTATAGTGTGATATGTTTTGTAATAGATATCTTCAAATAATGTTTAAAAGTAGAGAAGGGACACTTAAGTTAGAAAGTGATCAGGGAAGCTTTTCAGAGGATGTGACACTTGATAGGAGATTTTTCAGAGTAAGAGAGAGTTAGCCCAAGAAGGAAAGGAGGGAAAGTCACTTCGCACAAAGATACCAGATTTAATACATTGAACACGATGGAGCTTGGCTGATTTTCATATTGTGTAAGAAGCTATGGACCTAGGAACATTAACTGGGGCTGTATGAACTTAGAATCCCCAAGTCAAGTTAATAAAGACCAAGTTGAGTGTCTTTTCAGTTAACTACACTTTAATTTCAATGAATTTACATACCTTTCATATGCAAATGTGGAGCAAATATATTCATGAGGTATAGTGTTCAATGCTTCTGAGCCTTATTTGATCATTGCAAAAAGTTTTCTTTTTTTCCTTCTTCATTTTAAAGCACATTTCAGTTCTAGAAGTTACTATAATACAAATGCCACCCTAGGGAGAACCTGCATTAGATAATCCCTTAGAAAGATAGGTTCTCTTCCTAAACTGAGATATCTGAGGTCCTGGAAGGAGTACTGGGCTGGGAGGCAAAATGCAAGGATTGTCATCCGCAAATAAATTGCTAATATCAAATGTGAAGCTTTAGACCGCCTTTCTCTGAACTGTTTCATCATTAAAAAACTAGGCAATTTCTAAAGTCTTTTCTAATGACTGTAGCACTAGAAAAGCCTCTATTTTGCTGCAAAATCATTTCCAGAACTTTTAACAATCTTCTCTGTCAGAAAATCCTCCTTACCAAACAGTCGACAAGGTTTGTATTAATATCACATTTGCTACTGAATTTAAGGCATAGTTTTATTGTGGTCTGATTTAAATAGGCATTTTTGAAAAGTGTCACTCTAATTTATGATTTTTTAAGTATATTAATCAATTTTAAATAAAATGCCTAACAAATTTGGTCGATTTTTTAGCTTTTGAGCCAAATTATGAAGCCAGGTACAATATTATTATCCGCTGTTCTCAAGGACAATTTTAAATGAGATGTCACATTGAAGTAAAGTTATGCCTCTGAGAAGAGGAACCTATTTTAATAACGAAATAGAATAAGAAGTCATTCACAGTGAGAAGAATGCAGTCTAATTCTAATATCTTAGACACTTTTTATTTTCAAGGCTTTACTTACAGCACACACAGGGAAATAACCTAGCTCCTACGTCCCTTGCACATGTGCCTATAAATCAGCACAATATATGACCAATTGCATACACAATATCAAGCCAAACTAGAATGCCAATTGAGGGGCCAGAGTACTTTTTCATTTAAAGCAGGGTTTCCCCCCTGAGTACTATTGACATCTAGGGCTAGATAATGCTTTCTGTTCGGATGGGGGGGCACCTCTATTGCCTCTATCTGCTAGTAGCACGTACCCAGATGCAAAAATCAAAAATGTCTCCAGACATTGTCTATTGACTCCTAAGGAAGAAAACTGCCCCCATTTGAGAACCACTGATTTAAAGCATATGCATTGCATCTCTCTCTCTCTCTCTCTCTGCTCTCTAGTATACATATTTAGTAAACATGCATCATGTTTTATTACAAACTCTTATAATTTCCATCTCAAATCTTCCATCCAAGGGCATATTTCCACATTGTAGTCATAATATATTTCCATGAAAAAGATAAAAGATTTTATTGATTATCTCTTTCCACCTGACCACAATGAATGCAGAAGTTAAAATAAAGCTTCCTTCCCCAGCTGTTCTTCCAACCTTGGATTGAACTTTCAGTGACGGGGAGTTGGTACCTGATGAGGTAGTGAGAGCTCTATCTTCTACTGAGCTAAAGTGTGTCCACGCATCACTTCAAGTGATGACCCCTGGAGATATGTTGTGACCTGCTGCTACCACTTTTTAAACATGTTCGCCTTTGTGTTCTATTTCTGACTGTGGCCTGTCAGTCACCCAAACCTTTACTAAAAAGGCAAACAAACAAAACAAGAACTTGCCTTTTGCTTACTGCAATGTTTTTACGCTAGTTTAATTGACTTCATTCTTTTCACCTCAAGTTATCATCTACACACATGTCTAGTTTATCTCTTTCCTAATGATATCATTTTAATTCCTGCTAAAAACCTCCTAACTCCTCAGAGAGAAGCTCAAACTTTAACCAAAGGATAATCTGTGACCTGTGACAGGCTTCTATGAATCCAGTAGGGTCCCAATATATAGTCTTGTAACTCTCTGGCCCATCTCATAAATCTAGTGTCCTTTCTTCTCACTTCCCTCTTGCCTTAATCCTTGTTCTCCTTCCTTTGTCTTTTGAGCCCTCCATTCTAATGCTTAGTCTATTTTTACAAACTGTGCTAAAAAGAAATATAAGCCCAGCTACTGCATAAATATTTTCAGTACTGCATTCCATTATACTCATCCTCATTTCTCATTTTTCTCCAGCATCCATTTTAACTTTATGCCTTCAGTTTACTCATATAGAATTCTTCTCCTAGCAGCCCCCTTCATTGCCCTACACACAGCTGGCACACAATAGTTATAGAATCAACACTGCATGATTTAAATCACCATATCATTTAAATGTCTGGACCTGATAGAGTCACAGAGAAGAGCAGCATTTGTTTTTCTCAGAGATCAAAAGTGGAAAATTACAACTTGAAGATAGTTGTTATTTTTAAGGCCCCTTTGAGCAAGTGTTACAATGAATTCTTGCTGTTCATTCATGTGTACAAACTTATATAGCTGTTACTTTATCAACATAAGCGTATGTTGAAACATAGGTTGCATTGTTTATATGCATATTTGTTTGTTTTGAGGCTCTTCGAAAAATGACTATACAGTTAAACCATTAGCTTTCTATGTGACCTTGTGCAAGTCCTTTAAACTATCAAGAATTTAATTTGTTTGTTTGTTTTGGGGAGGGAGTATAGGTGATTATAAGATTTCTGGAACCAATTTAAACTAGGCATTTATACTTTCTATTGTTCAGTAAGCACTGGATGTTTTCTATCCCTCCTCTCTCTTCTTCCTGTAAAATAGAATTCCTGGTTTGTTTAAGACTTTACCTTTAAGACTTAGGGGCCATGGGCCAGCCCCAGGTCATCAGTTTATACTGACTGTTGTGTGTAATCATAATGCTCAGATTCTCTTTACAGATCTATCCATGGCCATATGACCATGGAAGGAAGTCTGCCAAGGGGCTTCTGCTTAGGTTAAATCACTCCTGAAATAAAATCCTACAAAAAATAATCTCTTTTTTCCTTTAAGATCCAAGATCCAGACTAAGTACTTGGATCACTGGTTTCTGTCTTAGGACAGTGACAAGAACTTGCATAAGGAAAAAAATATCACACATCATTGATGATAGAACAAAGGAAGAAATATGATATAAATGAGCCACTGAATTAATACATCATGAGATCTGCCTGTGGCTGGTGCTACTAATTTCTCCTCCATTAATATCAGCTCTCTCCTCTTCCTTTTAGTAATAAATTTCACTTCAATTTTATTAGGTCAACCATTTTCACAACGAAGTTTGGCTTTAAGAATGAGAATGTGACTGCGCGGCGACCCTCCAGTACCCTGTGAACATGGCGCTGCGAGCGGCGCGGAGCGTGCGACCTGTGCTCTGCAGCCTGCGCTCGGCCTCGGCGACCGCCGCGCCCTGCCCGCCCCGGCCTTGGCGGCTGGGTGCGGGCGCTGTCCGGACGCTGCGTACGGGACCCGCTCTGCTCTCAGTGCGTAAATTTACAGAGAAACATGAATGGGTAACAACAGAAAATGGTGTTGGAACAGTGGGAATCAGCAATTTTGCACAGGAATCTTTGGGAGATGTTGTTTACTGTAGTCTGCCCGAAGTTGGGACAAAATTAAACAAACAAGAGGAGTTTGGTGCTTTGGAAAGTGTGAAAGCTGCTAGTGAACTCCATTCTCCTTTATCAGGAGAAGTAACTGAAATTAATGGAGCTCTGACAGAAAACCCTGGACTTGTTAACAAATCTTGTTACGAAGATGGTTGGCTGATCAAGATGACACTGAGTAATCCTTCAGAACTAGATGAACTAATGAGTGAAGAAGCATATGAGAAATACGTAAAATCTATTGAGGAGTGAAAATGGAACCCCTAAATAAACTAGTGTGAAATAACTTAACCCAGCATAGTTGTCTTAAATTAGTGGTGGACAGATGACTTAAAATAGCAACTACTCTCAAAACTGCTAATGGAAGAAAATACTCCTTAACTTTCTAATAATTTAGATAAACAAAATATGGATCTCTTTCACAATACTCTATGATTTTTAGACTAGGCTCTAGTGTTCAGAATTCACAATTATCCATGGTTGAAAACCAGTCATAAAAATCATGTAATTCAAGGGTAACATTGTTATCTTAAGCCTTATATAATACTGTAACTTGCTTACATCCATACCAGGATTTGGGCTGAAATACTTAATGGTCTTTCCATTGGAAATGATGGGGAGTATTGAAGTTTTTTCTTGGTTGTACAGTATCAAATGAAACAATATTATCTTAATTTTGCATATACTGCATTTGCTGGTGCTATTTTTATACAGTGAGCAACAGTTTTGCAGCAAAATAATAAAATATTCAACTTCATTAAAAAAAAAAAAGAATGAGAATGTGACTAGAACTGGCATGTTCTTCAAGTTTCATGCTACCTCTTTAAAAGGAAATTACTTGTTTTTGTACTTTTTGATACCCTAACTTATGGGCTAGAATACATATATTTAGCCAGTGAGCCAGGAAGGAATAGAAGAATGAATATATCATCATGAGGATCCTGGAGTAACGAAACAGAACAAATTTTGGGAAGGAATGACTTTATAGAGCACAGCTGCTTACCTGTCCTGAGCAGTCCATGGAGAAATAGATCTCTTATCTTGCTAAATCATTGTATTTTGGGATGTTATTTTTTATAAAAATTTTATCTTTACCTAACTAATATACCATGCTTCAACGGGACTCCTTGATATGTGAGGTAACATATTTCCTTTTTACTTAAGTCAATTTGAATAGTGAACTTCTGTTATAAGCTGCCAAAATCTTTCTAATTGGTACAGTCAAATTTCACATCTGTGGCATGTGTGTGAATAAAGCAAAAAAAAAAAAAAAAAAAAGCTTTTGTAAGACAACTACTGAAAATTAATGTCCAAAGGACATTTCAAGGTGGATTGAATCAATACTTCAATACTTAGGAATTAAAAAAAATTATTAGGCTCACATTTTGAGATTTTCCAATTGTTTGCATACCTTCATGAATAATGGAAATAGAAATGCGTGTCTGTAAATGTAGTAGAAAATCTAAGAAGAAATTAGAAAACTTAAACAAGTCTTCAAAGGGGTACATGCTGTGGGAAAGTTATTATGATTCAGAATTGAAGATCCAGGGAGATTACAGGAGTCTTTTGAATCCCTGATGAGACAGCCCAATGAGACACATGAAGTAGCTAAAGTTTTCAAGAAAAAGGCCAACTGGCATTTCTCAATGATAGTGGTGACTAGCTATGAACAGTCACCTGGTGTGATGGGGCAAAAAATCTCAGAAGCTCTTTTTCATCACCTGAAAAATTAGAGAGCTTCTAAAATGTTTGCTATTTGTGATCATCTAGGTCTCTATAAATGTGGGAGAGTCTTCCTTTGCTCACCTTGTGTTGTTCCATAAACAAACTGAAAAACTTCAAGGTTGACTGTGCCACAGGGCAGATACTTACTATTTGTGAAAAAAGAGTTTTTAGAACTGATCAGTATTTCCACGTGGCATGCACTGAAGTAGTTACAGATGTACCACATATAGAAAAAAAGAATTCACTTAATTAATAGCAGATATATGAATGTGTGATGCTGCCGTTATTAAGTATCACTATAGATCTCAGGTACAACATTTAAAAAAGAAAATAATGTTTGTGATTATCAAGTGAACCACTGTTGGGAAACTGCAAAATAGTTAAAATCAGGTTGTGGTAGGAAAATATCCCTCTCCTCCCCTGACAAGCAAAAATAATTTTGCTCTAAATACCCACAGTCTAACTTCTTAATCTGATGAGTCATAACATTCTAGAAAGACAAGAACTTCACCTGATTTTTACTGTTTGTTTTCTACTCAAACATTTGGGAAATGATAATGCATATAAATCCCAAATCCAAAAACTCTCTTCATTATCATATCCCACTTATTCAGAATTCTGAATATTAAAAGTGACAAACATCAGAATACCAAACATGTTCCAGATACATTCTTAAATGTTTCATATGTATTATCTAATATTCTGTTAATATCTTTATTTAATATATGAAGAAAATGACTTCTGAGCAAATATAAATGTTACAAATTATTAATTGTTACTCATTATGAGATACATAAATATGCCCCATCTCGTGTAGAAAAGGCAATTTAGTGGAAAAAGTTCATTGTTAAACTACAAGAATTAATGCCATCCAACTTTTAAAAGAGGAAAGGAAATAATGACAAAATTAAAATAAAATGAAAAGAAAAAAATGCAGTTATTCAACAGAGCTCATTATCTTGCTTTTTTTAAAAAAAAAAAAACCTATGAACTTCAAGTAAGATAAAATATATAAAATTTGATAACATGTAAAAAATAATTAAAGAAATGATGGTCAGAAAGGGAAGAGCAAGCCGCCATCAATGAAAAATGCAACATAAGTGAGGTCATCATGATTATCTCTCTTTTGAAAACAATGTAGCATTAGAATTTAAAAAATCATCATCATAAGATGAAGTACTAAAGCACACAAACACTTTCACTTGGTGCCATTTACAAATATTGTGTTCCTGGACTTAGATGTGCCATCCTTGAAGGGTGAGAATTACCAAACTCAAGACTAGTGTCACCAAAGGTAAGAGACTTATAGTCCCTCACAATAATTGGATTTCCAGGAATGGGAAAATATAAATATGCCTTTTCTTCCTGCCTAAACAAAGAGCAATGAAACAAGTGTTTGGTGTTGAGGTGGGAATGAGAAGGGAAAGAAAAGAAAAGAATGTTCCTGAGAAGTTTTGGCCACAGTTTGACTTTCTGTTGGTTTATATGTAATTTGGGTAGGCCAGGGGAACTCAAGTCATAAACTTGATTTTAGGTGGTAACAAAATGGTAGTTCCCTCAGATATCTAGTAGAATTAAACACTCATCTTTTTGTAAAAAGGCATATTTATTCCAGGCCTCAGGAAACTGGCACAGAGTTTCAAGAGCAAGGATACACAAAGATAACTGGCCACAAGAAGAAAGAAGACAATTTGAGTGAGAACTGGCAGGAAAAAAACAAACAAACAAACAAACCAAAACCAGAGGACAGAAGAAGCCATACATTGAATTTTAAATATTATTTAAATACTGTTAATATTGACCAATATTATAAAACAAACAAAAACAATGCTAACTATTTTAAACAAGTAAAAAATAAGTTTGAAAATGTGAGCAGGGAGAAGCAAATATGAGGTAACACAATATAAATTCTAGAAAAAAAATCTAATTTAATAACTCAGGGAGCATGTCTGATGCTAGAATAGACAAAACAGAAAAGATAAATAGTGAACTGGAATATACATAAGTCAGAAGTATCTAGAATTCCGTACAGAAAGACAAGACATAATAAACTCAAAGAGAAGTTAAGAGATACAGAAAATAGAATGAAAAAATCTGGGTAGTCCTAAAACAAAAAAAGGGTACAAAATAAGGTCAGGACAAATATTAACAAGATTACAGCTGGCTATTTTGCAGAATGAAAAACAGCATTAATCCTCAGCTTCAATAACCCCAACATTTTTCAAAAAGGATAATTCAAAATAAATCTACAATCTGATAAACTTTAATAAAGCAGAATTAAAAACAGAAAAAAGGCAAGTTTTAAAGGGAAGAAGAGAAAAATGAAACACTACTCTCAAAGAAACAAAAGTTTGACTGGCATCTTACCTCACAATAGGAACAATGGAAGGCTGAGAAAGTGGAATGATATCTTCAATGTGAAAAAATCACAGAACGCAAAACACAAGTGCCAACTTAGAATTCGATTATAAGTAAAATTATTCTTCAGAAATAAAGGTGAAATAAAGATATTTCAGACATACACAAATAAAAAAGCTCTGTCTATCCTCAGAACTACCGTGTTTCCCCCAAAATAAGACAGGGTCTTAAATTTATTTTTCCTCAAGAAGACACCCTAGGGCTTATTTTCAGGGGATGTGTTATTTTCCCCTCAAAGCCTCAGCTTGCAGCACGTATAGGATGGCCAGGACCTGACAAGGGGAGCCCACCTTGTTGGTGGGGCTGCCCACACCTTTCCAGTCACCTCTGGGATAATAGTTGTCATGATGGGGCAGATGAGAAGGGCTGCTCGTCTTCTTTACCGCTCCTTGACAAAATGCACGGGTTGGGCAGATGCGCTGCATAGCCATGCCAATCACTAGGTCTTATTTTCGGGGTAGGGCTTATTTTGTGCAAATGCTTAGAAATCCTACTAGGGCTTATTTTATAGGTAAGTCTTATTTTTGGGGAAACACGATACACAAAAAGTGATTCTAAAGTATGTGCTTCAGTCAGACAGAAAATAATTCCAGACAGTAAAATTTTCCCAATGGAATGAAGACCAGATAAGTAATGTGTATAACAATAAACACTGAGCATATATAGCAAAAATAATATTTTGTGAAATATAAATTAATTAGAATGAAAACACACAAAAGCAGTACATATAACTAGGAGGAGTGTAAATATTTACATTATGCAGTTTCTGTGTTATTCAGGAGGAATTGATTGACATTAAAATTTGATAAGTTAAGGATGAGTGTTTCATTTCCAGAGTAGTCACAAAGTTTCGGAATTAGAGAGCATATCTACCACACTAGTAAAGAGGAAAACTGGTTAAAGACACTCTCAGTCAGTCAAAATTGAATAAGAGAGAGAAATGGCAGAGGGAAAGAAAGAGAGGGAGAAACCTAGAATAGACAGGACAATTAGCACAAAACACTCGAATGATGAATTCTTATATTAGCTATAAATAAAGCTATATAACCAGCTCCTATGATTAAGGATCAAAGAATGATGATGAGGAAAAGACATACCAGATAGACAAAAACGGAACTTTCATCACCAACAGAACCTACTTAAAAGAA